CATGCGTTAAAATGACAATTAAAAGAAAATTTTATAAATTAATAAAATTTTATGACTTTTACTTTTTTCAAAAAAAGTAACAATCGGGAATAGTACCAGCACTAACCAATCAGAACGAACCCCATGGCCGCCTGGCCAATCAGAATAGACTCAGAGTATACAAACCAATAAGGTAACAGTGGTCATGTGATCACTTCTCGCCAATGAGATGTGAGATATCCCTCTCTCCCTTCCTCACTTGCTTTTTCTCATTCAATATTACGAATGTGACAAGAATGTCACATACTCAACATTCTGGATATTCTATCCAGAGCAGTGAGGCAAGGAAAAGGTTTAAGTTTATCGTAGTGAGAAAACTAGAGGTTAAAAAAAAAAACACAACAAACCAACAAAAAGCAAAAAACACTAGAGATAAAAATAGATTCACAACAGTTAATTAATTGTATTACTATATTTTAATTAATGTTATAAGAATTTAGAGTCATGATCACATGAAATTGTAACTGCAGTATTATAAAACAAAATGCATGTGAATGATTGAATGGAAACCTAATATGACATGTAAACTTTCCCGCAGATAAAAACCGAACATTAGACTCACAGATGACATAGTTCTATTTGTTGTCATGGGAAATAGTCTGGTGGCACGTGAAAAAGTGATTCCTCTTGTCATTACAGAAGTCCAGAGTGAAGGCTGCAGAGTGGACTTGGGGGGAGGGATTGCATAACAATGAAAGAGTTTTTCTTTTCAAGGAGAAGAGTGCAACAATGAATGACTGGAAACCCTAAGTCTCTGTAAACTTTCATTTAAATTAATAATAAAAAAAAGGAACAAACAAAAAAAATTTTTAAGTGATACCATAGACCATTGCCACTGAGCTGATTCTGACTCATAGTGACCCTGTAGGAAGAACAATTCCCCAGAGGCTTTCTAAGACGGTAGATCTTTACAGAAGCAGATTTCCTCATCTGCCTCACCATGAACAGCTTGTAGGTTCCACCTGCCAACCTTAGCAGCCCAGTTTTGAGGCATTATTCACAACCGCCAAAAAGTGACAGTAATTCACATGCCTAAACAACAGACGAATGGATAAAAATGTGCTCTACCGGTGTTGCTGTGACGCTGCACACTGTTCCATTGTCTTGTCAAATACCATAATGGTTACCCATTATCTACAGTGTTTGGATGAGCTTCCAGATTGATTTATGCTGGGAAGCAGGAGTGGTGTCCACTTCCTAAACTAGATGCCTCTGGAAACTACAAACTCTCTAAATTCTACAAACTCTCTAAAACTCAATAAATGTACAGAAATGATGTTAGTTATAGAACAGAGTTCTGTACAGAAATGATGTTAGTCATAGAACAGAGTTTAGGTCTTTTGTGCAAAACTTACTCTCAGTCATATTTGACTTGACCACACTTAAGCACTGCTAGTGAAACTAGTGCTATTACATCTGGAGGAACACTTTTCCACTTTGCACATCACTCTTTGTCAATGTGCTGTATGAGGTAACCTGGGTTTCCTGTGATGCTGAACCTTGTGCCATTGGGGTATCAAATACCAGAATGGTTTCCCATTGCGGACAGTGTTTGGTGGAGCTCCCAGTTGTAAAACAGGTTTGGAAGCAGGAGTGGCATCCACTTCCTAAACCACATGCCTCTGGAAACTATGAACTTGGTGAAATGACAACAGTTATGGAAAGGCATTAGGTCTTTTGTTCATAGAGTCGCTATGAATCACGTTTGACTAGATGGCAATCAACAACAATTCCACCATCTAAAGGATTAGCCTTCTAATATACACCAAGACATGGATAATCTCTGAAAGCATCTTAAATGAAAGAAGCCAGACACACACACACAAAACCCACCAAATACTATCCTGCTGGTACTTGAGATACCACAGACGCAGCGTCCAGCATCATGACAATACTCAAGCTGCCACAGCACAACACAGTCCTTCTGTCCATCCTTCTGTGTTTGTCCTTTCGATTTAAACAACTGGGAAAAGGAAAGCTTTGGAAACACAAGCAACTCAGCCAAAGTCGACCAAAGATCTTATAGTGCTTGTGAACTTTCTGTTACACTGCTGCCACCAAGTTATTGAGACCCTGAAGAGGCACGACAGACCTGCCGCATCCAGTTTCCAAGGCTGCAAGTCTTTGCCACAGCAGACTGCCTCATCTTCTCACGCTGAGCACGCAGCTGGTAGGTTCCAGCCTCGTCTTTGGACCCGACACTTGGCAGCCATAATAGTCCCTGGAGCTTTCCATTACAGCTCATTATTTTAAATGAGATGGATGCTTAATAAATCCACGGGGGGTTAAAGTTATGCACCCAATTTCCCATAAAGAATAATATATCATATATTTCAAACTATTCTAGATATTATATATTATCTGTACTATATCTAGATTTGGGAGCACGAGTGGCATCTACTTCCTAAACAACATGCCTCTGGAAACTCTATGAACTTTGATAAATGAGGATAGTTATAGAAAGGCTTCAGGCCTTTTGTTCATAGGGTCGCTATGAGTCATGCTCGACTCGATAGCAATCAACAACAACAACAACATATCTAGACACTATTCTAGATATTTTCCATAAAGGGTACCACACAATATTCATCCTTTGGGATACATTTATTTCAGTGGTATGGAATTGTGCTGCCAAACCAAAGGTATGTGGTTTGAATCCATCAGCTGCTCTGTGGGAGAAAGATGGGCAATCTCTTCCCATATGATTTTCTACCTCTGAAAATCCACTGGAGGGTGAGCTACGTGTTGGTTCTAACTTGAGATACACAACAACAAAGGAGAAATATTGTATGGAAAGATCTAGAATAAACAAGCATAAGGACAGAAAGTAGATTGTTATTGTTGGGTGTCGTTGAGTTGACTATCATTCATAATGATGCTATGAACAACACATCAAAAACTCTGCTGTATCCAGCACCATCCTTACAGCCTTGGCCAAGTTCAAGCTCATTGTTGCAGTCACCTTGAAAGTCCATCTTATTAGGCTGGAAGGATCGAAAAACAGGGTTTTTGTTATGTGCTGTCGAGTCAGGACTGACTCACCGCTGGCACTTTGGTAGATGTTCAGAGGCTGTAAATCCCACGGGAGGAGACTGCTCATCCTTCTCCCATGGAGAGCTGGTGGATTCAAACCACCGGCCTTTGGGTTGGCAATGCAATTCCTTACCACCTGGGCACAAGAGCCCCCTAAAGAATAGGGAGGTACTGCTTAATGAGTACTGAGTTTCTGTTTGAGGTGATGAAAAGTTTCAGAAACAATCAAACCAACCAACCAAACCATAAAACAAACAAACAGACACACACACACACACACACACACACACACACACACACAAACCCAACCCCATACTGTTTGCACAATAAATTGAGTTTCATTAATGCCACTGCTTATACAACCAAAAATGGTTCAAAGGGCATATTTAATGTGGTCTTTATTTTACACTCTTTCTCTGTGCTCGTGCAAAACCTGTGTACAAACCAGGATGGTTGGAACAGCCGTGGTTTATAGTCAGGAAAGGTGCGTGTCCGTGTTGTATCTTTTCCCTATCCTTATTCAATGTGTCTGCTGAGCAAATTACCCGAGAAGCTGGACTGTAAGAAGAAGAACGTGGCATCAGCAGTAGAGGAAGACTCATTAACAACCTGCAGTATGCAGATGACACAATCCTGATTGCTGAGAACAAGACTCGAAGCCTTTACTGATGAAGATCAAAGACTTCGGCTTTCAGGATGGATTACACCTCAACAAAGTATAAAAGTCATCACAACTGGACCCATAAATAACGTCACGATGAACAGAGACAAAGACTGAAGTTGGCAGGGATTCCATTTCACCTGGATCCACAATTAACACCCACGCTTGTTTGAAGAAGCAAACCACGCGATTGCCTTCAGAGAATCTGTGGCAACATACGTCTTTACAGGGTTAAAAAGCAAAGATGTCGCCTTGAGGACTACCGTGCGCCTGCCCCAAGCCTTCGTGTTTTCAGTCTCCTCTTGTGCATTCCAAGCTCGACAGTGAATAAGGAAAACCCAACAAGAAATGATGCTTTTGAATCGCGCTTGTGGCAAAGAATATTAAATATCCCATGGCCTGCCAGAAGAACAAACAAATCTGTCTTGGAGGAAAGGCAACCAGAATGCTCCGTAGGGCAAAGAGAGCGAGACTTCGGGCATACATACTTAGAGCATGTTATCAACAGGGGCCAGGCGACCCCCCGAAATAGATATTATGTTTGATAGAGTAGAGAGGGTCAGTGAAAAAAGACCCTCAGTGAGCTGGATTAAGGCAATGGCTGGAGCAAAGGGCTGAGACAGAGCAGAGGTTTAAGGACTGCGTGCGGGTCAGGCAGGGAGTTACCTTCTGTTGTGCACGGGAATTGATTTATCTCGAACCCATTCAAAGCCACCTAGCACCACCGCCACCAAAATACAAGTTGGAATTCTAACCCGGTGGATGTAATTGTGTTTGAAAAACAGGGTTTTCTGTGTTCCTTAGATCGTTCCTGAATAGAGAGAGTTCTCGCTCCAAGTATTTCTGAGTTATAAAAAGCGCAAGCTAGACATAAAGATGCCTATTTGTGGACGTCTGCACAAGGAAGGAGGGAGAACGAACGCCCAGGGCAATTGACAAAAGAAGCGATCGAGGAGACCTCCAGAACGGTGAGAAAATAGATTTTTGTTCTTTAAAGGCACCCAGGTATGGCCTTTCTGTGACAGCAGCCCCAGGTGACGGAAGACACTCAGGCTGTGAAAAGACACAGCCCATTTGAGGTCACTCAGATGTGCAGCGCCGCAGGCTGGGGCCAGGCCCCCTCCCAGGCCTCGCACAGCGCCCACTCACCTGTGCAGGCTCTCCCCGCGGTGCGTGCGGTTCTGGGCGCGACAGTCGTGTCCGAGCTCGGGCAGGAAGCCATAGTCTCGTAGCAGGGCCTGGGCACCTCTGGCCACCACGGCGACACCGGCCACCACGCGCCGGGCCAGGTCGTCCCTCCAGCCAGCGGAGCGCACGGCGAACAGGCCGGCGGGCAGCGGGGCACCTCCGGGCAGGAGCAGGGGCTCCCCGGGCGCCCCCGAGCCCCCTCCCCCGGCCAGCTGGGGCCCCACCATGAACCACACGTAGCCGGGCCCCGTGAGGCCGGCCTCCTCGGCGGCGCGGAACACGGGCTCGGCCTCCTCGCGCGCGCAAAAGAGCAGGCGAATCTGCGCGCTGACGCTGCGGAGCTGCGCGCCCAGCACCGCCTCGCCGGCCCCAGGGTCCAGCATCAGCGCCCCGCGGTGCTCCCAGCCCACCAGGCTGCCGTCCGTCAGCACCTCGATGTAGGACAGGAAGGCCCGGTGGCCGGGGGCCCGCGTGGTCACCGCCACGAAGGACGTCCAGTCGTACTCCTCCAGCACCTCGAAGATGACCTGAAGCTGCTGCTCGGTGGAGGAGCCCAACTGCAGGAAAGTGGAGCCCTTCTCCTGCGGGGGACACGAGGGAGTTTGGGGGTCAGGGCCACAGCTCCCAGGGGGCCAGAGCGACCCTGCCTCCCGGGTGCCAACCTCACCCCCCCACCCTCAGCCTCTGATAAGGGGACCACGGCACCTATCAGCCAAGGAAGGTTACTCAGTGGTTAATAAAAACAACACCT